CATAGAGGGGGAGGATCACCTCTTTTGACCTGCTCGAGATGCATCTGTGGATTCACGACAAGGTGCGGTTGGCTTTCCTGACCACATCCCCACGCTGCCAGCCCCATGTTCATCTTGGCATCGATGATGACTCCGAGATCCTTTTCTGCCTCTGCACTCATGAGAAGGGAGTTCCCAGCCTGTAGGTCTGCTGCTGGTTCTTCCTCCCCAGGTGCAGCACCTTGCACTTGTCAGTGTTGAAACACATCCTGTTCTCATCCGCCCACCTCTGTAACCTGTCTAGGTCCGATTGCAGCCTATTCCTCCCTTCTAGTGTGCCCACATCCCCTCACATCTTAGTGTCATCAGCAAATTTGAACAGGTGCTTTTTACCCCCTCGTCCAAGTCGCTGATGAAGATGTTGAACATTGCGGGCCTGAGGACCTACGTCCACTGCTACCCCTGCATCTAAGGATTTTGTGACCTGGTCATAGAAGGCCACCAGGTTGGTCTGACAGGACCTGCCACTAATGAACCTGTGTTGGTTCCCCCTAAGCATAACCTGCCCTGCTGGCATCTTGTGGACATGTGCCAGGATAACTCTCTCAAAAAACTTACCCAGGATCAAGGTAAGACTAACTGGCCTATAGTTTCCTGGGTGTTCCTTCCTCCCTTTTTTGAAGATGGGAACCATGTTAGCCCTCTTCCAGTCCTCTAGCACCACGAGCGCTCATACAGCCGTGCCAGGGGTCCTGCAATGAGCTAATTCCCTCAGCACTCTGGGGTGGAGATCATCAGGAACACCTCATCTAGCTACATCCAGATCAAGTTAATCAAAATATATTTAAATTTCAACTTAATTCCCCACTCCCTCCTTTTAAAATTTCTAAATAGAAATTTGGAACATTTCATTAAAAAAAATGTTAAAATGGAACAAGATTTTTTTTTCTTGTTTCCAAACTATTTTCAGAATGGGAAGTTCATTGAAAGGGAGCCTTTCCTATAAGAACGTAATCCTTTCTGATCTAAAATTGTTTCACCCCAGATTTCTGACCAGCTCTCCTCTAGAACAGATCAGCTAAGGCAAAAGTAGGGCATTGTTTTGCCATTTTTAATGCCTCTGTCTCACTGAAATCTCTGCCTGTGAGCGAGGATGGGAGAATTAGCCTCTCTCTGGCAAACCAAGGACTATGAGAGACATCTGGGTTTCTTCTAGTCAACCTTCCCTTCCTTTGCTGTACATGACATCCTCTAAATCTGTATCCAGAATATCTAAAGCCACTCTGCTTAGAAGTGGGGTGATAATGTGGAAGACAATAGAGTAACCATGTACAGGATGCCAGCCAAGCAATCCCACATAAACAGCCCAAACCTCAGAGACGAACAAGCATGAATAACCCTTGTGCTGGTGAACACACTGAACTTTAAGCATACTGGCTTTAGATGTTCTGGATACAGATGTAGAGGATGTTTTGTACAGCAAAGAAAGGGAAGGTTGACTAGAAGAAACCCAGATGTCTCTCATAGTCCTTTGTTTGAGGATGTGAAAGATGATAGACTTATACAGATCAACCACAACCATTCAAGGCCAGGCCCAGAAGCCATGAGTCTCATGACTGAACTCCCAATCACTCCTAAATTTTTAGTTGCATACCAACTGGGGAGATCCTACTACAAGCTGTAGGAAGGAGGCTCCTACAGAAACCCATTTTGTTGAACAGAATACCAGCAATGGGAATGATTATGGAGATTTTCATGAAACTCCACTTATCCACCCAGCTGAGCCTTGGTTGGATGCTTCTTTTTAATCTTATCATCATGGTAGATGGCACAGGGGGAGAATTAATAGGTTCTTCAGCTGGGAAAATAAACTGTCCTGATGATTTCACAGTATTGGATGAACCACTTGCATTATTGATCAAGTTCACTAATGACAAATCTGAAGGGATGAATCTGGATTTGCATTCAACTTTCTTCTATCCTTACTGGTCAAGGTCAAATAGGGTTGGGGAAAGCCCTTCCATATCATGTCACATTTTGTCCTTCCTTTTATTAAACTTCTCTCTCTCATTACTAGGATAACTGCATTTTTTTCTCATTTCAACCCACTCCTGCATCAAGATATCTGTATGATTTTAACTTAGCAACATCCTGGAAGTTATGGGGATGGAGAGGGCGTTGTCAGGGCACTTGAACTAGAGACTTCAAGTTTTCATTCACTTGAGGTTTGCAAGTGACACAATCTGGTCTCCACATTCCCCATCTGTACCTTATCACATTGATGTGGTGAGGTATGCTCAGCCACTACAACAATAGGGGCCATATTAAGTGTCTATGCGGCCTGGGAAAATCTATTTCTTGAACTGATTTGGTCCTTTCATTTGAGGGCTATTTTTAGCTCTACTTACATCCCCTCTCCTTTGCTTCAGCATTTTTTTTTATTGCTTCCCTGCATTTGTTAACTGCATGTCAGGCTTCATTTTGAGCTGGTGAGTGACACTTCTGCATATAACAATCCCTTCCAGATGTACTTACTGGACTCCAGCTGGTGAAGTTGATTCTAGTGACTTATTTCCCCCTTCCATGATCTTTCTGACTTAGCTCTAATCTCAGTTTCTGGCTCTTCATCTTAAAGAAAAGTGGCACCTTGTTGAAAGTCTGGCTCTTGTCAGCATCAGCCAAGCACAGACAAAATGAACATCAAGAAGACAGGGAGAGAATCGTTTAAGGATATCGAAAGTGAGAGTGATGGGTGAGTGTCAGGGAATAATTTGTTTGCTCAGGGAGCAATAAACCAGTAGGATAAACTTTCCTTTCCAGAGATCACGTCCAAGGCATTGGTGGTTCTGAAAGGGAGAGAGAGAAGCCACCCTGGCTTTCCCTGGCACTCGCCGCAGGGGAGATGATGAGCAGCAGCTGTGGGTGGATGCCAAGATGACTGGCTCAGGTGCACCATTTTTGGAGCTACCTGAGCCTGCAAATCAGCAGAGAGAGAGGGCGGGACCAGAGAGAGCAGCAGGCTGCTGAAAAGGCAGCTGGGAAAACAGCTGGGGCTGGTGTGGGAAAATTCAGGCCCTGCAGCAGGGTAACGCTATGGGATGCTGCTGGAGGTGAACAGCGTGCCAAGGCACCAGCACACCTAGCAGGTACTCTGGGAGGAGGAGCAGAGAGAGCTGCAGAGGGTGGTGCAGGAGGGACACCAGCATGCCCCAGAGCCTCTCTGGGAGGAGGACTGGGAAACACCTCAGCTCACAGTAAGGGAGTGGTGGGTGGCCAGGAGGAACAGGACAGGTGCTGAAGACCTGCCACACCAATGGGGAACTTCTGAGGAGGGGCGATAGCTGGGGACAGTGCCAGGTGGTGGGACAGGCAGCCGTGTGGAGCGATGGAGCTATGACATTCCCCAGCCCGAACAAGGTGGAGAGCCAGGAGGAGCCACCAAGGCGAGCAATGGGCACACCAGCTGGAGTGATCAGGACAGCCCAGCCACAGGTTAGATGGGGCTGAGGTGGGAAAGGGCAGGGACCCAAAGGAGGGCCCCACAAGAGGACTGCCAGGGGCACAGCGGGAAGCTGCTGAGCCTGCAAGGCAGCTCTTAAAAAAGGGAAGCCAAAAAGCCCCAGCCAGGGGCCTTCAGGCCTGGAAGACAGGACCCAGTGGTGCTGATCATTTTTTGTTGGTATTACTCATAAGTTTACTGTTACCTCAAGATTGAGGCAGGTTTAGTTGTGAAGGCCACAGTCCACAAGATGAAGGATGGCCTATGAAGAGCTGATGGCCAGGAGGTTGCTGATGTCCATCTCAGCCATGGATGTGGTAAGGGTGGGGTAAAGGAGAGGGTGGAGTCCCACAAAGAAGCCCAGGTGTGCTACCCCATGGGTCACCTGCCAGGAGCCGTCTCCCAAGAAGAACATCAAGTTTCATAGTTTCATAGTTTCTAGGGTCGGAAGGGACCTGAGCAGATCATCTAGTCCGACCCCCTGCCATAGCAGGAAAGAGTACTGGGGTCAAACAACCCCAGTAAGGTGGTCATCCAACCTCCTCTTAAAAACCCCCAGGGTGGGAGCCTGCACCACCTCACTTGGAAGCTGGTTCCAGACCCTAGCAGCCCTGACCGTGAAGTAGCGCCTCCTGATGTCCAACTTAAACCTTCCCTCCGCCAGCTTGTGACCGTTGTTCCTGGTCACTCCTTGCGGCGCTCGGGGGAACAGGGACTCCCCCAGCGCCTGCTGATCCCCCCTAACCAGTTTATAACAGGCCACAAGATCCCCCCTCAGCCTTCTCTTTTGAAGGCTGAACAGGTTCAGGTCC